AGTAATATTAAATGCCAACATGATTATTTTTTTTCATTATGTATTTTTGATGTGCAATCAATAAACAGATATGTTGGCATGATACAAGTATTCAAATCTGCTAACCCACTTTTTCTGGCTTTGTTTGAAAAAAAAAAACTACCAGTTAATGCATGAAATGTGCATTGTGTTTGCCAGAACTATGGGCTAGTGGAGAATGCGTTAACTGAAATGCTAGTTATTTAATCCATGGGTGGCTTTGTTCAATTTGCAAGTCTGTTGATAAAAATAGCAAAAGTGAAATAAAACCTGCATATTAATATTTTAGTGTCATTACTCTGTATAATGTACTTGCGTAGTCAGGTTTGTATTTGATGTTTTAGTCATATTTGAAGAATTTATTCCTGTGCAAAGCACAAAATGGGAGTCCTTGTAGTCCTTGTAACACTGTATGTCTGTTTAAACCATTATCTCAAGAATCGCTGGTCAGATTTCAATGAAACTTGATACATCGATGCTCTAGGACAACTCAAAGACCTGGTTAGTTTTGGTTTAAAAACTTGCGTATCAATTACCTGATTTGCATAATTAGCCAAATGTCGGCTTTTACACATTTCAATGAAATTTGTTACATAAATGCTCAGACGTTGTGCAGGCTGTATTAGTTTTACATTAAAATCTATGCACATTTATTACCTGATTTGCATAATTAGTTTTTCCATCAATATCTCAAGTACTTGTCTTATTTAAGTGAATCTTGGTAGATAAAGACAATGCAACGATCTAGTTTTGGTTTACATACTAATTTGCATAGTTTATTTTCATCTTTCCATGTAATCATAAGTCAACTGCACAAAAAGAACATAACATGCACGCAGCAACCACAATAGTATTTGTAAAAAATTCACCAAAAACTGGCAAAATTCTCTATGGGAAAATTTGTGGTATAACCAACTGATTATTCAGACGCTTACAGATTAAAACATTATTTTTGGTAAAACTCCTGTAAGCGACCTTGTATCCATTGGTAAACTTTTCAACCCACTGTCTCGTATTTCAGTTACATACTTTATTAATAGTCTCCATACCTAGAAGTTAATAGTAAGACAGTCTGAACTACAGGGCAATATAATAATCTTATGGCAATGGTATTCTTAGTTCCAGTTACTCAAAAAATGATATTCAGCCGACTGATGAGTATTCAATCCCCAATGAACAAAATTAAAAAGAATATTTAATTATATTATGAAATTTATAATAGGCAGCATGATATACATTCAAGACTGTCACCTCTATATAAAGATCACCTGCCTATAGTGACCACATTTCGGCAGTTCCAAAGCAAAACATTAGCAGCCTGTGTATAAAGACTTGTGTGACGATTCTGTCAGCTATATTTTTCAGGTTTGGCTTTGTTTTAGAGACCAAAATAACAATTAGCATTCTGTTTATAAATATTATTTTGATGAGCTTGAATAAATGTATTTTTGCTGCAACAGTACAAATATGTCAAATGTATTTAGTTGGCGATTCATAACAAAATATTTTTGATTTTGACATTTGATTTTAAGTGTGTTATAGTATTCAAGAGTTTGGTTCCAAAGCAAATTTATTCCAGGCAAGAGAACAAGGTAATACCATTGACTTATGATTTCATATGAGATGGCACACTGATGACATATGATTGAACTCCAAACAAGACACAGGTTGTAGTATGCAAATGAGAAGAAAGCGAATTCTGCATATTCTATACTCTTCTAATCGTACCTTCTACAATCCATGAATTAGTCTTTATTGGAACCTGTGTATTTTAATAATTGGTGGGGGCTGGAGGATTTTGTGAAAAAAAATCGTGAACAGAACAAATTCTCACTGAGCCTCTCTGTTCAAAAAAAGTAGAAAGACAAACAAAACTCCTTGACGCTCAGTTATACAAAATTGACATTACTACTGCAAATATGGCTTCCATGTTGCATCTTCTGTAAAATACATTACTGTGAAATAATTTATTTTAGCTGGAATTAATTTTCGCTGAAAAGAATTTTTGGGGATTTTGTATGGAATTTATTTTCACTGATTTTTGGTAAGTTGAATATAGAATATAGAGTAAAGGTACATTAGCTGGATTTTATTTTCACTGAATCACTCCTTTAGCGAAAATAGAGAAAATAAATTCCAAGCGAAAATAAAGTACTTTACAGTATTTTTACTCAACATTTATTTCTGAAGGCCAAATCGGAGAAAATACATTTTCCATAACTCAATAAAAAAAATAATGAGGACTGCCTTCGATTCATTGCTGATGGTATAGCAGATGTTATACCATTGTTTAGCTAATAACTAACTTTGGTATGAAATATCCTTCAAACTAAAAATAACCACAAATCCGGGTCACCATAAATGCGCACTGATATTCACTGACTCATCTTGTTGCTATCTGAGGTTTGTGTCTAACAGTAACATTTATTGTATTTTAGATGAACCACATGTATGTTAAGTAAACGCCCCAGATTTGTGTGTCCATGAATTTGTAGTCATTATTCTTGTAACATTTGTGTACTGGAATTGAAACAGATGGACCATGAAGCTAAAAAGAGCTCAATCATGGGTGGACCCTAAACTCAAAAGCCGCATAATTATCAACTTGTGACATCCTGTTCTAGCTACAGGCTACATCGTCTGCTGTCATTGGGCTCTGATTTCGAGCTCAGTTTTGGTGATTTCTTCTTAGCACAGCAAAACTTCGTCAGTGTTTTTCTTTTATATATCATAAGGCCAGACTTTTATTATCCCTTGTTTCGCGAACCCGCCGAATGAACAAGAGCTGAAAATGAAATAAAAATAACATTTTATTTCAGCGTAATTTCTCGCGCCCGCCGACTTGTAAGCGCAAAAAAAATGCTAAAAAAATATTTTTTTTTATCTTCATTTTTTCACCGCCCGCCGCATAACAAATCCAAGTTGCATTTTCGTGGGAGTATCATGATCAAAGTACCGAAGTCTCGTGCAGATGAGAAACAACGTTATACATGGAATAACATTTTATTTCATTTCTTCTCTCCGATCAATGATCTCACTTACAATTCTTTGAGAATCACACAAATCTAATGGAAAAAAAGAATTATTTTTTTTTCCGCCCTTCTCAAAAAAATTGCCTTATGAAAACTCGAGAAATAAGGAATAAAAAAGTCTGGCCTAATTTATATAAAAAAACCCGAGTACGTTTTTTTAGAACAAAGGGATTTGACTTGATGAAGCGACTCGGACACTGGACAATTTTGTTTGTGTCCGGCAACTGGGCACTGTGATTGGCCGAGAAGTACTAGGTGAGGTTTAAATTGAAAAGTACATGACCAAAGAACGTTTCAGAGGAAATTATTTGAACCTTGGAACGGAGTCGATATTTTGAGTTTGTTGTGTGAATAAGTTACGGTGCTGGGAATCCACGAAGTATTCGTTGTGTTCATTTTGTCTATTTTACAATGTAAAATCATATTATGTATAGCCACCATGGAGATAGAAATACCTCCATGGTATAGCATGGGCGCGTATAGTATTAGTGTAGTAGTTAATAAATGATTGCTATTCTGTCATCTGAAAAGAAATAGGTCAGAGTTATCCATTGTTTTCGTGGGATATGAGTAGATGCCTACTCCACCCACAAACAGTCATCCGCAATTGCTATATATATATATATATATATATATATATGTATATATATATATATATATATATATATATATATATATCTCCATGTGTATTTGGCAGAAGCGTTTAATAATTACCAAGTCCCAAATGTTGGCCACCTGTTTATAAAATAAAACACCACCCACTACAAACAAAACTAACAAGCGACACGTAACTCAAAAGATGACGTGTATACATGTAATACATACATCAACGACTCTGGCTCCCGGGACTCGCTCGTAGATATCGCGACTGTTTGTTGACCAGGGACGGGGGTGCGACGAAATATCGTGCTACAGCTTGAATTGTTCAGGTTGGTAGCAACGTGCACCATAACATTGATCATATATATATTCCCGATTAAAGATAAACTAATAAGAATATTAGTGGACGCATACTATTGAATACCAATATTTCCTGTATTCTTCAAATAAATCAACCAGTGTGTGTTTGTAGGGTCTATTATTTAATTCATTATATATGAGCCATACGATTGATAGACACTGCTATGATTTAACTTGCGTCTAAATATAATGAGTGGAATTTGTCTTGATTTTACCACGGTTACTAAAAAAAACGTGATTTTACTATTGTGGACAATGGACATGGAGTGTGCAGTAAATAGTTCGTTTCCTGGCTTTCGACTGATTGCTTATTTTGATGCCCGATATCAAGTGGAATCAGGTGATTTTATTCTCGTTTTCAAGCGATGATGGCATGCTGATGTTTCGCGGGTCCTGTCAAGTAACATCCATATATGGAAAACAAAACACGCCCACTTAATAGTTTGGCCAATCGGAGTGTTATCTTGAGTTACTAAGGACAACAACCGGAACTTCATTTTTCAAACACTGAACCGGTGCAAGCTACGCTGAGACGAATCACTTCATAGTTGCTGGCTCAGTCCGCCAAGTAGAAATGTAGTTCAAATGATTCATCAATAAATTAACGCTTTGAAAATGCATTAATTGGGAACACAAATCCTATATATAACTCTATATTTTATGTCAAACAAATTATACACGTTATTAGATTTTTGAAGCATATTTCATTGTATAATGATGGTGGGTTGGCGGATTGATTTTCTCATGGTTGCTACGTTAGCGATACCCGTGGATACCGTAAGAACGTATGTACACATAGGAGACTTCACTTAGCGACACGAACCCGTTGTGAGCACGTCTATGTAGTACAGCTCCGTGAAACTTACCGAGGATTTACTTAGAAACAAACAAAATGTTCAAAAACACATTTCAATCGGGATTCTTATCAATTCTATATAGTATTGGAAGCAAACCATTACAAATTTGGGATAAAAAGGTAAGATATTTTGCTTCTTTTTGCCGTGTTCTGTTGCCCACTGTGTCACCATGATAACTCGGGTGTCATAATGCAGTGCAGTGCATCCTGATTCTGACTCATAGCTTGATACTCGAATTGTTTATATTGATTGTTTTAAGCATTAATTGGCCAGACAATCGCAATTTAATAACTGTATTGTAGCCTAATTATACCATGTGATGTATAATTGTTGCCATTAATTATGAAAAATCTGGCTTCACACATGTGGGGTGTTACTGTTACTAAGTGCCGCTTGCTGCCTTGTTCCAAATTTGCTTGACAACAGCCCGCAATATTACACGTCGACTGTCCAATTTGTTATAACTTGATAACATTTGAGCATATTATCAAAAACACGTCAATCGGGTGCGATATTTTAAACGTATTTTACTCAGCTTGTTAATAAAATTTCTGCCATCGATGTATTTTGATGATTTGGTTGTGTTTACATCAAACACCCGACGCATGGGATCCATTTTGTTGGGGGCAAACGGGGTGGGACTCTGGCTTGAACTTCGATCTCGCGTTTAAGTAATTTTGACTCTCCCCCGGCGAACTGTTTTGGCATTTATCAGTTCTGTGATGTGAATGTTCATGTGTAGTTGCTAGTAAACACTTGTGTGGTAAATATTTGTTGGTGTTTACATCATTGAATCTTACAAAGAAAAAAGGTCGTGTGTTTGCGCCGCCATTTTGTTGCACGTTGATCACCATGCTTTACTGACGAGCTGTACCCAGACATATGACCCTATACTCACACTGAACTGTTTTATTCATTTGTAGGTTCGGAATGGGCACATAAAAAGAATAACAGATAACGATATTCAGTCACTTGTTCTTGAAATAGTCGGAACTAATGTTAGGTGAGTAATATGTGTGCCCATGAGGCCGGCTCCATTGATGGGTAGTTCAGTTTTTAGTATCTAAATAGATTTGCATTTGTCACGTGAACATGTGTACCGGGGTTATGTACCCCTGCACGAGTGACGATAATATTAATATATATACTCAAATTTTAATATTGCAACTGTGTATCAGACACAGTAATTTGTTGATTACTTTTTGCACACAACAACAATTTCTTATTGCTATTTGTTCTATTTCTACAGCACAACATACATCACATGCCCTGCAGACCCTAAGAAAACACTTGGTATCAAACTTCCATTTCTTGTGATGATTATCAAGAATTTGAAGAAATATTTCACATTTGAAGTTCAAGTACTGGATGACAAGAATGTTCGAAGACGGTTCAGGGCTAGCAACTATCAGAGTACGACCCGTGTGAAACCATTTATCTGTACAATGCCAATGAGACTGGATGATGGCTGGAATCAGATTCAGGTAATAATTTTGACTTCGCTTTAATTTGAACATTTTATGAGTAAGGTAGTATGTATTAAGTAACAAAGCATTCCCATCAGTATACACTTACAATGTAATTATGCTTTATTTTTCAGTTCAATTTGTCAGACTTTACAAGGCGTGCATATGGTACAAATTACATTGAAACACTCAGAGTTCAGGTAAGATTATTTCTTTTTTCCTCTTGACCGAGTTTAGAAGTAATATTACTGTTGCTTATTTTCTATTGATGACTGTCTATGTTGCATAGTAAATTCCATACAATTTTTCACTGAGGTACTGATGATTATTCCAATTGTACTTTCAGATTCATGCCAACTGCCGCATTCGTCGTGTGTACTTTTCAGACAGACTATACTCAGAAGATGAATTACCCGCTGAATTCAAACTTTACTTGCCTGTACAGAAAAAATAGACACAAACATTTTTTCAAAGAAAACGGACTCATCTTTTTAACATGAACACTTGGTGACCAGCCAACCAGCCAATAGTGGACCACCTGCTATGGACTTATTAAATATTTTGACTTGTTCCCAAAGTTTATATTATTGATATTTCATTTATGGAAATCAACAGTTTCCATTTATTGTGCTGCTGTATGCCAGTGGAACAACTTGTTAAATAAATTTGTTGACAGGACATCATATGCAGCCGGATAGTTGTAGTGTATTCAAAATTGTATATTGGAAGGAAAAAGGGGAAAGGGGGTATATATTCTTT